CGCGGCCCCGGTGCTGCCACCCACGCAGTGACACCCTGGCTCGGCCCAGCTGGCGGGAGCCCCGTCTGCCCTCCCCCCGGCAGGGACCGGGATGGCTCAGGATTCCACTGACATCACGGGAAGAGATGCTGGATCATTCCCCGGGGTAGGGAAGGGGAGACGCTGCGCTTTCTGCAGGCCCTGGCTAGGTTTTTCGCACTTCACAGTTATTGGGGACCGGGAGAGTGTGGATGCCCAGGAAGCATGGCTGGGCATCTTTGAAAATCTGCCAGCAGGAAGATCCGGTATTTATAGTAAGACCTCGTCATCTTAGGCAATTGGGCAAGAAAGTCCCAAAATAACTAACCTAGAGTGTCTACTGCAGCCCTCCTAGCCGAGTGTCCTGGAGCTAGGTTAACAGGCAGAACTAAGTTTAGTAAAGTATAGAGGTTATTAATAAACATTCAGAGCACCAAGATCCCCCACCGCACGCTCATTTCTGAGGGGGACGCCCCCTTTCCTGGGAAAAGCAAAGCTCTGTCATCCTAAGGAAAGGCTTCTTTCCTTCTGAAAGACGCTGATGTCTCAGCTTGTTGGTTGTGTTCTTTTTTTCAAACCTGCTTTGGGATACTACTAATCTGACTCCTGAAATATGAAAACAGGATAAAAGTTACTGTTGGGTTTTCTTGTCAAAAGGAGAGATTCTCTTCATCTGTAGACAGTTATTTAATGCATATTCTTGAGTCCTCGGGGTGTCTGTCCTCAGAGACTTACTATTATTCATTTCAACACTGATTTCATTTTAGCTGTAAATAGCTCAATAATTATCTTAGCTAGAATTTTCTCTTGACAAATGAATCATCACGTCAATGTAATTAAGATCCCAAGCTCTGGAATCACACTTGATTTAAATCCTACCCGTAGGATTTAAAACCTGGTTCTAGAACCTGGGTTAAGTAACCAGACTTTTCTGTGCCATGAATTCCTCGTCTGAAAGATGGAGATAATTGGGACCTACCTCTTAACGTGGTGGTGAATATCCCATGAGGTAATGAGGGCTGGCCAGTTAGCTCAATTGGTTAAGGTGCAGCCTTGTAACACCAAGGTGAAGGGTTTGGTTTCCCTAAGCAGCCAGCTGCCAAGAAAAAAAAAGAAAAGAAGGCAATGACCCAGGCGTGCACTGAAAAGGTCAGCTGTTATTGGTGTTATTATTTCACTTACTATTATTAGTTCCATAAGAGAGGGGCCTACATCTCTAAAAAAACAAAGAAGAGAAAGGGAACTAATATGTATTCACTTCCTCATAAATTGAGATGGGCCATTGCGCTGGGGTATGTTCTCTTTGAAAAGATTATATCTCATAGAAGTTACTTAACTCTCTCTCAAAAGTATGTTTATTCCAACAATCAATTCATTTAGTATAAATGTTTTGAGTCTGGAAGGTACATTATCTCGGTCGCCTAGTAGCTGGGGAGAGCATGTGGCCTCACACTGGCTGCCTTGGTGGCAGGATACAACAAAAGTGTGTCTAAGAGAGGGCAAGCTCTTGGGTTCAGGTTCCTCCCATTTCTCAGGCAGCTTCTTCACCTTTTCTGGTCCTTGAGTTCTTCCCCAGTAAAATGAAAGGATGGAGCTTTTCGAGGGCCTTTTTTCACCCTAAAAGTACCATGAACATTACTAATTATGGAGAGGTTGCTCTGTGGAAGGTCTACAGCTGAGCATTGTGAGAGATTCAGCTTTGACCGGCAGGCATTTAGGACCTTACAGTTTACCCCAATGATTCTTTAAAGTGTCACTTGCACACCCTCCCACCCCCCATAGCATGAGCATCAGCTGGCAACTTGTTAGAAATGCACATTATCAGCTTCATGCCAGACCTACTGAATCAGAAACTCTGGAGGTGGAATGCTACAGTGTGTGAACCACTGGTTTACACAGTACTTCATACGCTGCCTCACAACAAACCAGCAAGATGTGTTATCTCTGTGATCACTATGTTTCTCTGTGCTGGGTACTGTGCTAAGCACTTTATTATCTCACTTAATCCTTTC